CTCCATGGCGTAGCCGCGGGCCACGCCATACCACCACGGCTCCGGGTCCTCGGCTCCCGTCGTACCTCCGCTCGCTCCAACCTCCTCCTCCTCCTCCTCCTCCTCAAGTAATTCTCTCCCTTTGCCGTTTGGTACTCATAATATATGTATCATAATATTTGATTAATTCACGGGTAGTTGTGCTTGGTCCCAGATCGAAGAACTGCTCGCTATGTACTCGATGGAATGTAGCATGGTGGATCGACTGTCGGCTTAATTGGATGGTTTTTTTTGTGGCTGTTAGGTTAGCAGATCTCTTTTTGGTTGGGGTTCTAATTGTTGGGGTCACGATGAGGGAACTTCCTAAATCTACCTTTACACTGGCCAGTCGTAGCACACTTGCCTTTGTTCGTCTGTTAATTGCCTGCAAGTCGATGCAAGCTGTGTTACTCCTCTAGGGCATGCTGTGCAGTAGAAATGGCTACAGATTCGAGTGATACAAGCTGCTCCAAAATTTAGTTGCACCTTGAATGTCTTGCGACAGGACTTGGTCGGGTGTTTTTGGTGCAACTAAGTTGCGGACTAAGACATGAAACGGTTATGCACAAGTCAAGGTGATTTAAGAATAGGTTTTTTTGTGTGTGTTGTACTATAGTATCTATGTTCCCATACACTTGGCAAGGAACACAACGGTGTCAGATGCCAAATGCTTATGAAATGGTTGCGTAAATATTTATTATGCATAGCTCATGAGATATCTAATGCACATTAGTTCTTAGTACTGATAAGCATGAAGATGTGGAAGATTCAGAAGGATTTTTATTGTTATTATAGAATTAGATATCTTGTGAGTGGCAATCTGGCATTTATTCGTAAGTAAGGGTTAGTTTGGTTAAATCAGTTCCCTCCCAAGACTTGAGTGCAATTTCTTAAACTACTATTTTCCAAGCAGGTATCAACGTTCAACAGTACTAAAACAAACTATATATACGGAGTATGTAATTAAGCCTTTATATTAGGCTTATTGTACAGCTAGCGTATTGTATGCATTGTACATGCCCCCCCACACACACAATGGGTGTGTGGTGATTCTCCCCAAACCTTTCTATCTTTCTACACTTTACCATTCTACTCTGTCATCAATTGGCTCCATAAATTACATGGCCTGGTTGTCTCCTTTCTCCAACTTCCACACCCTCCCTTTCATTCCAATGCCATCAACTATTGTTTTAGTTCTGTAGCACTGCAATATGGGTTTAGGAGGCCTTGCGAATTCCACCATGTCTTTGGTGTAGACTCGTCCTATGGTTCATATCCATCGCTCGATGTCACATGGGAAAACAGGATGCTAATTTTCAAACTTGGGTGCCTTGTGTTGTTTTTCTTCTTCTTCGACCCCATTGCCTCCACCATTGCCACCACAAGAAGCAGCAAGCCCAGTTCCGTGTACTTGAATGCTCTAGAGTTGTAGCTGATCTTAAGTGGTACACTGTTTTAGGGATTTAAGTGACAATACAAGCACTAGTATTCTAAATTCTCAGTTCTACAATGGATTTATCATTTCTTCCCAGATTCACTGTCCTTTCAGAACATCAGTTTATGGGCAGATCTTTAACGTTTGGGGTTTATGACAAGTAAGCTCGACAACATGTTAGGCATGTTATTTAAGCTCAGAAATTTGTTTGTTGGGTGGAGTTTCTAGATTGCACAAATATGATGACGCCACCAACTTGGGATCTAACATGAGATATATGTTTTTTTCTAAAAGTTACTTGTATCAGAGATTTTTTGTTAATGTGATTGGCATTTATCTTTTTCTTACTTTACCAAATCTCGCAAGGCTTCTGTCTCATCCAAGAAACTCAAAATCACTGTGTATTCAATTTGGATAACATTCTGAAAAATATAAACCGTAACGTAGTATTCTGAGATCATAGATCTGTTCTGAATCTTTATTTACCATAGATCTATCACAGTGTGGTGGATTGTCTCTGTTTAACAAAGAAACATGATCATCTGTAAGCACTGTATCAAAAAATTATAAGACACATATACTTAGAAAATGCTACTAATTTGTTATCTATATCTTGTTTCTACTTTAATGCGGCAAATGATGATGCAGTTATTTACGTTGCATATTTTGATTGAAGTAAAAATTCAGCATTAGGGATGGTAAAAATGAAACGAAGTCCCTCGGCTCCTAGCAAATTGGCTTCTCATCATAGGTCTGACCAGAAGAAGAAGGGTGCTACAGCAGAGCAGATCGATAGGGACAAAAGTATTTCTGCAAGAAGACAATAATGGCCAGTTCATTTCAGATACACACTGGTTATTAAAAGTGACGATCATTAAGATGTGGAAGTTTATTTTTGTTATCTTGTGAGTCTGAAGCCTTTACCGTTCTGGTCTGTCATCAATTGGCTCTATAAATTGCATGGCCTGGTTGCCTCCTTTCTCCAACTGCCACACCCTCCCTTTCATTCCAATGCCAGCAGCCTAGCAATGTATTTCTGTTCAGTAGCACTGCAATCTGAGTTCAGGAGGCGTTGGGAATTCCACCATGTCATTGGTGTACACTCATGCTGTGGTTCACATCCTATTGCACGCGAGGACCGAAGAACGACCTAAGATATTGTTTGGTTCTAAAAAATGTAGCGTTACCTGTTTACGGAGGGGAATAGAAACCGATACTTGTGTGAAAGCCAAGCGTGAAAGCCGGGTATATAGACCCTCAAGTTATAGCACAAATAAATTTTAATTACCCTAGATAGTGGAAACTGGATATCAAAGAGTTAGCTGCTGGAAAGACCCTTCGAGACAAAGAGGATATCTGTGCGAAGAAACTAAGGCAAAAGTCCCTTTACATTTCGGTATACATTGCCTTGACTTTTAAAAATCTCCAATAGCACTCTACTATATAGCTACCATACAACTTCGAGTAAGTTCAAACTCTATACTTAAAGCTTTGTTCGATATATTTTATTCGATGCAAAAGAGTTTATCTAGTTCTATGATTAAATTCATGGAACAACTAGTAGATTTGTATAGACGTCGATATCGGGAGGAGCATGGCATATGTCTTTGATTCATTAGATAGGGACCCGGTGACATACAAAGACTTCATATCGATTCTCAAGACGTATACATATCGACAATCCTTATTAGCTTATATATTTGTATACATACTTGTAACGTTCACTTTTAGATACTAACAAGTTGCATTTGCTAAAATAATTCAAACAGGGCATTCTGATTCTATGTCAATGAACATCACGGATGGCATGATCCAGTAAGAAAAAAAGACTGGCTATAAAAACACTATGTACGGTAAGTGTAACTTACTTTAGTGCTCTATTACATGGCTGTCAAAAGCATTACTTAACATTTTCATATGCAAAACACACAGTGCCCTAAGCAGAAGCCTGAGAGTGTACATTGTGGATACTATGTATGTTCTATGATGAGTAACACCGGTACCTGCAGGAGACACCTCTTAAGGGTAAGTTTGAACCTCTTCACCCGTAGTATAAAAACTTCACACATGATATAAAATACTAAACCGAAACTTGTTCTTTTGTAGTGGAAAGAAGAGAAAGAAATGAAAAGAGATCCATATAAGGATGACCAACTCTTAGAGCTCGTCGGCGACCTTTGCAATTTCATATTGGACCAGATTGTACACGTCAAAAGCACCTACCATGACCGAGATTCTAACTTAGGTAGAAATCCTCAGTACCAACACCTTCGTGAGACTGAAAGGCTAGCTCTAGGCCGTTGATAACAATGTGTATGGAATTTGACATTGGTCTTATCTTGTGGGACGGTTTGGACTTGTGGAACGAATTAGACTTGTGAATTATGTCTATTTAATGATGGATTGTATATATTCTTATGAATTGGACTTGTAATGGTAGTTTATATAATGCTCTTGTGCTTGTGGTCAGATTTGAATTATATATATATATATATGTGTGTGTTCTGGTCAAATTTGAATTGTAAATTTGAATTTTTTTATAAAAAAATGTAGTATAGGGGCGGTTCTAGACTGAACCGCCCCTACAAACATGTATTATAGGGGCGGTTGGTACTACGGCCGCCCCTACAAATCGATTTGTAGGGGCGGCTGATAACACCAGCTGCCTCTATCAATCGAGAGTTCATTCACAGTTGATGTGCTGGAATATATTTTTATCCCTGTAGGCCTGTTCCAAATGTCAATCGACTTCCAACACCAGTTTTCGAAATTCACTTTTGCAAATTAAACATGGACGAAAATGACAAACTAGGTATCACGATGCATTCAAAAAATTCTTCCAGATGCAATATAAGCGCAAGATCAAATATATATGATACTCCTACATGCATGACAGGCTTCAGACTCAGGAAGATCGGCGCCCTCCTCGATCAGCATGAAACTCACCTCCAGGCAACTCAGCACGACTGCAGCAGGCAGCAGCCACCAATTCCCGCGTGACGCTGAGGCCGCCGAGCAACAACGGTTGCTGTTCTTGTGCTGCTCTATGCACCGATGTACTAACTGACGCGGTCAGACTCGGATCGATATCAAATCTCTTAAATTGGCCAGCGGCGTTCAAAGTTCAAACCAACTCGCAGCCCTCGCTAGCTCGGTGGTTGCCGCGACGCCGGCAGGGGAGCACGGTCTCGCCGTCGCGTCAGCGGTTGTGCGCCGGTGAGGACTGAGACGGAAGGAGAAAGCCGTCGTATGTTGTTACGTTGTCGTCATACTCTTGCCGTCTGTCTGTTTTGCCCACCTTCGATCAGTTAACTCAACGCAGATGATAATCGCGACGTCGCAGCTACCGGGAGCCGTCCGATCAACTTTAAGCGGCTCAGATCGTTGGGTGGTTAAGCACGGCACGACACCTTCCGTTCGCGTACGGGCCAAACAAACCTCCTCTCCGATCTGAATCCCCTGCCCACCAGTTTATCTCTCTCATTCCCAAATTTTCCTCATCGGCTTCGCTTGCCCCAAATCGAATCCCCATCACTCCACTCCATCCATGGCGACTCTCACCATGCAGCCGATCGGTCCCACCTCCGCTCCGGCTGCGCAGGAAGACCAGAGGCGAGTGCTCTTCTTGCTTCCCTTGCTGTTTCCCTTTCCTAGATTGGCACCCAAGTTTCGGGACTTCGTTTTCTGATTTCTGGTGTTCCTGGTCTCGATGCAGCAAGGGGGAGAATCCTCCTACCGTGGATGCTACCGATTTGAGTGACATCGACTCGGGGTAATTGCTTCCTCCCGCCTTCCATGTCCGTTTACTTTAACCGCCGTACTACCTTTTATTACCTCGCGTTCCTAGATAAAACAGCTAGCTAGCGCATGATTTGTTCATGTGGTTGTGGTTCTGGGCAGCTGGGTTATCCTCAAGAACTCGGATATTGTTTCCGCGGATTTGGCAGCCGCCGCCGTCAGTGGCGGTCAGCGTCTAGGCTCTTCCACGCTTCCTAGCTGGTATGAGTTGGGATTTTATACATCAACAACAAGTGTGATGTTGTTGGATTCTTTTCGTGTGAACTGCAACCGATCCTCTTCTTTTATTATTTTTGTCCTCCCAGGGCACGGTGGGTTCTTGGAGGTGTGGTGTACACGGTCGTGCCATTCTACAACAGAGTTAGGTATCTCGAAGGTACATAATAAGAATATAATATCAACTTAATACTGTTTTTCTTTTCCTGTCTCATGCTCATTTATAACGTTCTATATGGTCAAATGTGAAGAAACAACATTCTAATCCACAATGACTTGAATATAATCATCGCATCAATTGGTACTAAGTATTTACATATCATTAAGCTCGGTTATAAGTTTGGGGATTCTTATTTCTATATGGCCAGGCGAGACAGTGGGGTTCGTGGAGAATGCTGTGGAGGTTGTGGAGCATATAGCTGAAGTAACAGAGAAGCTAGCTGCGAATGTGGCTAAGCAACTTCCTGAAGATGGGTCTCTGCAGAAAGCAGTAGAGGAGGTTGAGCACATTGCTGAGGTAGTGGATGATGATGCAGAGAAGTTTGAAGCAGTCGCTGAAAAGGTTTGCTTTTGTTCTCTTGTATTCTTGTTGTTCGATATTGTCATGCCATACTTATTTCCATATTACCATTGGACAAGACAGATAATCTTATTTTAGAAGTTGTATCATTGCAAATTAGGAATTGAACAAAAGGAAATAGTTTGCTTGCTTTATGAAAATACTGCTAGCTGGTATATGTATGTGTAGATATTTTTGTATACTCAACTCCTACTCAACTCCTGAAACCAAAAATGATTATTTTAGTAATTTCTTTAGGTGAGCAAAATTTGCTAACTATCTTCGTTGCACTTGAAAAGTGGAAATTTTAATGCATGCCAAGTAACAATGTGTATTGAGAACTGGTCGTGGCAGTTTCTTTTGGAGACCATGTAGCACTCTCAAACAATGTCTGACTGGTTAGCAACTTAGACTGGTCACTGCCTGGCTTAAAAGGCTTGTTTTGAAGGAGGTTAATTTAGTTGTTTCTTGTGAGAAACTGAGATCAGTAATCATTTGCAATATTCTGGTGATGTTCTGCACAAAATGTTTTGCAACACTTAAAATTGCTTACTTGGTGCTGCATGAGTGACACTTTTTGGTGGTATCATAAGTTAATGGCAATTTCTGTAAAGGAAACTGAGGAAAACATAGGTCTGCAACTCGCAAGGCATCCAGAAGTGATTTAGTCGGATTTTATTAACAAAACTTTATATGACGATAGTTTCTGCATCATTTGACAGTAACATAAACCGAGCATGAAACATTCACTATGTCGTGTTAACATTTGAAGTGAAAGTTAACCTGGAATAAAGGTTCATGCTTCTCCTTGCTTGTACAGATCGACAAGGTCAGTGATGAGATTGATGCTGCTGTGGAGCCGGTCATCGAGGAGCTTGAAAAGGAACTCGATCAGAGTACAACGTCCGACAATGGAGTTAACACAAAGAATTGATCAACATCATGTTAGGAGTGCTCCTCATTGTATATAGCGTGTGTACTATTGTTTTTCTTCTCTCCTCTTTGGAAAAACTGCTTGTACATATGTATGGTGTTGTATATGAATTGCATTTGCACCCCACCATGATCATAGTAAGGCATGGAAATTGTCTGCTGGGTGCTCGTAGATGAAGTGTGGAGAATTGAAGACTGTTATGTTGTGGAACTAGAAAAATAAAAGAATTATTGGTACTCTATCAAGTCATTATCCATAAATAAATACATATTGGCCTGTGAAAATGTCAAGCGCCTCAACGCTCAACGTCGCCGGACCGCGGCTACGCAACTCGTAGTCGCGCTCCAGGCCTTCACCGTGAGAAGATCTCACCGGTGGCTTGAGAGAGTTTGGGAGAGAGGAGCAACGTTAGGGTAATTGATCTTGCTTAATTCTCTCCAAGTCTTTTACACGGCATATATGGCCAATGGCCCAACCAAACTCTCCTATAATTAAGGCATGCAAAAGGAAACTAAATCCTATCTTTCTAAACTTAGCCACCGACGGTGGCACTGCCTTGGCCACAAGGCTCGCATGACCCTCCTAAGCGTCACGGCTGGCGCCTATATAGGTGCGCCCGTACATGACATCTCTCCCCCTCGACGGTCAGCTCGTCCTCGAGCTGAAATCGAGGAAATTTGTCGTGAAGTCCGCAACATCCTCCCAAGTAGCACCGGCGAGTGGATCGCCCTTTCCAATGGATGAGCACTGCGCGAACACCCTTTGCGGTAGATGCCGAACAGCACTGCTCCGGTTCGAGTCACCGCCCATGATGAATGGGTGGGAGGGAGGTGGCGTGGCGGTGGTGCGCCGACGAACTTCTTGAGAAGGCCGGCGTGGAAGACATCGTGCTTGGCACGCTGGGCTGGGCAGCTTAGAGCGAACGACCACACGGTTGATGCACTCGGTGACTTGGTAAGGCCCGACAAGCGCGGCTTGGCTTGCCCTTGGGCGTCTGGGGAAGAGAGGAAGGCTGCCCGTTGGCGGTTAAGGCGAAGACCCGATCACCCACGGCATAGGAGACCGGTCGGTGCGGCGGTCGAGAACTTCTTTCCGGACGACTGGGCTTGTTCCAGCGATAGAGGACATCCGCTAGGAGCTCCTCGCGTGCCGCCATTGTCTTGGCCACCGCATGCCACCGGGTCTCTCGGACTCATAAGAGCGGATGGGGGTCCTCACCAGAGACCACCTTGAATGGAGTGTCCTTGAGCTGACGATTGATACGCCGTGTTGTAGACGTACTCCGCCCATGGCGACCATCGCACCATCGCCGGGCCGATCCCCAATGAAACACCGGAGGTACATGACGATGACTTTGTTGGCCGCCTCTGTTTGGCCATCGGACTGCGGGTGGAAGGCGGACGTCATGTGCAGCTTGGGGCCGGTGAGTCGCATCGGCTCCGCTTGAACGTCGAGGTGAACACGGAGTCCCGGTCCGACACCATGGTCGAGGGATCCCGTGGAGGCGAACGATCTCGCCGAAAAACGCTGGGCCACGGACTCGCTGACCGTAGGGGTGAGCGGTGGGATAAAATGGCGATTTGCTAAACCGGTCGACCCTTTGTGAGGATCACCGATTTGTTTCAACGCGAGCGGCGGCGCCTCGATGAAGTCAAGCCGACGCCGGACCACACGGCACCGGGAACAGGCAGGGGGGGCAGCAGATCCGCCGGGTGCGGTGTTCGAGACTTGTTGCTTGGCACGCGTTGCGCATGCGCGGACGAAGTCCTGTACCACGCGGCGCATGGCCGGGAAGTAGAAGTCCCGGCGGAGGCGATGTAGAGTCCGCTGCACCCCTTCATGCCCGTCGTCGTGCGTAGCAGCCACCACTTCGAGCAGCAGTGGGGAGTCCGACGGAATGTAGGGCCTGTCAGCATACGCCACCATGCCGTCCAGCAGCGACCACGGCGCGCCCCTAGTGCCGGCTGCTAGTTCATCCCTGAGGGCGACGAGGCTGGTTCTCGTCGTTGAGCATGACAAAGACGGTCGACGAAGTCGGCGAAGCGCGCGACGGCGCCAAGACCGAGCCCTCTCGGCGGTGTCGCCGACGGAGACGCGGCGTCGGCGACGGTGTTCGTGGCACCCGGCTTGTATTCCACCGAGAAGTCGAAGCCGAGGAGCTTGCCCACCCAATGGTGCTGCGGGATCGTCGAGAGGCGCTGGTCGAGGAGGAATTTGAGGCTGTAGTGGTCGGTGCGGACGCGAACGCGCGCTCCCCACTGTGTACGGCCTCCGATGGCGCACTGGCGTGCACCAGCCAATGAGCTCCCCGCTCATACGCCGCCAGAGCGGCGGTGGCGGCGGCGCCGGCTTCTTTGAAATAAGCGATCGGATGGTGCTCCTGCAGCAAGACCGCCCCGAAGCCATGCGTGGACGCGTCACACTCGATGATGAAGCCCTTGGTGATGTCGGGCAGCGCCAACACCGGGGCCGACGTCACGGCTGCCTTGAGTGCCTGGAAGGCTGCCTGGGCCGCGTCGTTCCAGCAAAAGCCCTCCTTCTTCAAAGAACGAAGTGAGGGCGCCGCAATCTTGCCGTAGTCGTGGACGAACTTGCGGTAGTATCCGGTGAGGCCTAAGAAGCCACGCACGCCGCAGCTGCTGAAGCGAGGTGCCGCCCAATCGTGAATGGCTCGCACCTTTGGCGGGTCCATGGCCACACCTTGGCGGAGATGATGTGCCCCGGTATGTCACGGAAGGTGACCCAAAGATGCACTTGGATCGCTTGAGCGAAGAGGACATGGCGGTGAAGTTCGGCGAGGGCGGCGCGGATGTGCCTCAAGTGATCAGCCCAAGTCTTCTTTGTAAATCAATATATCATCAAAAAGACAAGGACGAACCGGCGAAGGAATGGGCGAGAACACGTCGTTCATGAGCGCTCGGAATGTTGCGGGCGTTGCATAAACCGAACGGCATCACCGAGAACTCATAGAAGCCATCGTGGGTTCGGAACGCCGTCTTGTGCACATCAGCCGGCCGCATCCGGACTTGGTGATAGCCGGAGCGGAGGTCTAGCTTGGTGAAGAACTGCGCACCATGCAGCTCATCAAGGAGTTCGTCGACGACTGGGATGGGGAAAGCATCCTTGACGGTGAGGGCATTAAGAGCGCGGTAGTCCCATAAAACCGCCAAGCCCGTCACGCTTCTTGACCAAAGCAATACCGGCGATGAGAACGCCGAATCGCTGCGGCGTCACGATGCCTTGGTCCAGCATGGCGGCGCATTGCCGTTCCAGCTCGTCCTTGTGCACCGCCGGGTAGCGGTAGGGCCGAACCGCCACAGGTGTAGAGCCGGGCTTGAGGACGATGGCGTGATCCCGTGCTCGCTGCGGTGGCGGACCCGCCGGCTCGGCAAACACACCCCCTCGAAGAGTGCGGCGGCTCCTCAAGGAGGCGTGCGGTGTCGTGGTGGCGGCGGTAAGGGGGTGGCCGACGGTCGGCGACGTCCGACCAGAGAGACTGTCGGCCTTGGTGCGAAGGAAGAGAGCGGTGCGGTCGACGAAGTCCCACACCACCCGGCCAAGGGTGACCATCCATTGAGTCCCCAAGACGAGGTCATACCCATGGCGGCATGACGAAAAAAGGTCGATGAAGAACGTCCTCGCCTCGATGATGACCGGTGCACGGCGGATGCGCGGGCAGGCGGACGCGCTTCGCCGTTAGCCCGCAGTGGCCGGTACGTGAGGCGCGGTGGCGCTGGCTGGATCGGCATGCCGGTGCGGCAAGCGGCGTCCTCGGCAATGAAATTATGTGTGGAGCCGGTGTCTAGGAGGAGCGCGACGAGGGTGGTGGCGCCAGGAGACCCGCACTGCATGGAATCACGAGATGGGCATACCGCCACTTGCCACGAGGGAGAAGACGGGCGCCGTCCTGCTGATCGTCCCCACTTGGTTCCTCGTCGGTGGCCGTGAGCTCGACGCCGTTGAGGTAGAAGATGCGGCGGCAGAACACGATTGTGGCATGGAGTACGGCTCATTTACGGTTGAAACAGAGAGGCGAGATGGCGCCGTTCCGCTGTTCTCCGGGACGGCCGCTTCAAAAGCGGCCCATCCGTCAGCGGCTAGACCGCGCGCCGTGAGTGTGGTGCAGAAGGCGGCAGCGGCGGGCGTGTAGGCGCTGGCTGGCAAAGCAGGGCACGAGGGCTCCCGGGTGGCGGGTGGGGTAGCCGCGCTAACTCCATCTCGCTTTCGACGTGGCGAGACTCATGGCCCCGAAGCGTCTCCGGATTGTGGATGCGGACGGCATGGCTCAGCGGAGGAAGAGCCGCGGTGTATAGTTGGACGCGCTGGCCCTCCTCGAGCCGACCCGCGCGCGGCAGGAGAGCCTGGAACCGGTTGGAGTATTCCTCCACGGTCCCGGTGCGGCGACACTCCGCCAACTCGAGCAGGCGCCCGGCGGAGAGGTGGACCGAAGCGAAGGTTGAGGAGGTCCTTGAATCGTCCCCATGGCGGCGTACCCTCGTCTTCCCAGAATGGATGTACCACGGTACGCGCGGCGTCCTCCAGATTGTAGGAGGCCATCCACACGCGCTCCTCCGGCATGGTGCGCTGTTGGCGAAAATAGGATTCGCATTTGTTGATGAAGAGCATCGGATCGGTCTTGCCATCGGCGGGGAAGTCGAGCCACGGAATCGTGGGGGCGATCCGGATCACGAGGAGGCTCCTCGCGCCATCGCCGCCGTTGTCCGACGCAGCGATGATGACTTGTCCTTCATGGTGGCCATGTCGGCCTTCACGGAAGACAACTTCGATGCGAACGACTGCATCATCTCCATGAGGTCCTTGATGGTGGGTGCAGCCATGGTGGTGGAGTGGCCGGTGGAAGGGGATGGTGGAGGGCTGGAGCGGGTGGGAGAGGATCTACGCGACGCCGATACCAGGTTGTCAAGCGCCTCAACGCTCAACGTCGCCGGACCGCGGCTACGCAACTCGTAGTTGCGCTCCAGGCCTTCACCGTGAGAAGA